GGATTTTATCCTACAACTCCTTGCATTTTTGGCAGTGGGTTAACAGTACTCTTGTTTTTAGGGTACTTTTGTGAAGAGGTGTAACTTCAGGGGACCGTGTTTTATCTGTTCCTAAAGTCTTTCATCTGTCCTTCTTACCTTATTAAGAAGTAAGTTTTGCATTCTGACCATGGCTTGGTCACACTTAAATATAAATAGACTTACTATTAATAGAAGACATACTATAGTTGATATTATCAGATTGAAATAAATTCCTAATTAAGTACAGGTGTGTTGTAATACCAGTGTTCAGCTACTATTTATTACTGGAAAGTTAATTTGCCTTTATAGAGTTGAAAAAAATTGACTTTGAAGAACAAGTAGGAGTTTCCCATGTTGGGGTGGGGGTATGGGGAATGGCGACATCAGCAGAGATATCCATCTCTGTGAACAAAGGTACTGAGCAGACATTTACAACACATTTGCAAAACCTACCCCTTCAGATAGGTTTATCTACAGAGAGCTAATGTCACTTTTATTTAATAAAAAAATTGTATTTTCTGACTTCTTAAATATTAGCAATATGCTCTGTTTAGAAGTAGTTGAGCCTTTTGCGTTAACTACCCATGCATTGAACAGAGACTATAAAAAGCCACCGAAAAGTAATATTTTTCATGGGATAAGCAAAAATAACAGAAGAGAGTAAAAGGAAGGGTATTTTCTGCTGGAGAGAGGAGAAGAAAAAATGGATAAGGAAAAAAATGTATGTTATACAAATAATAAAAATACATAGCAGGGTGGCTTGCCAGACTTGGGGGTCAGATGATGAAGCTAGATTTGTGCTTGGGTCTCTAAAGCCTGTGCTCTTCTGTTGTACTAAGCAGGCTGAAGTAACAGAAATGAATACTTTCAGAGCCCAGTGCCCTGACAGTGAGGTTCATGGCATGCAAGTGGGCCTCTAAACTTTGTAAAGATCACTGTTCAGTCTTTTCTGATCCTCTTTTTATCCTTCATACTGCTATGTATACAAAACATGTTATCTATCTATATCTGTAGTACAAGAAGCTTTTTCAGTTTCTTGCTTAATGTAAATTATGGTTCATCTAGTTCCATTTTTATGAGATTACATATTAAAGAATTCTTTAAATTATTTAATTGTGCTTACTTTGTTTCCTATAAGATGAGACTGATTTTAGAATTTGTGTCCCAGTTATTTTATGGAAAATCGGTATTGATTTTAGTGTTTTATATTTTCAAGACACATTGTACTTTTCCTTCATAGCACTTATTATACTTTATAATTTATTTTCAGGACTATGTTATTAGTATCTGTCCTCTTTACTAGAGTGTAAGCTCTACAGTGTCTATTTACCATATCCCCAGTGCCAGGTACATAATAGTTACCACTCAATAAATACAGACTAAGTTAATTAATGAACATACTTAAGCCCAGATGTTCTGCACTGTATTCAAAAAGTTGTCTATGAACTATTAATGGATAATTTTTGAAAAAATGATTCTGTGGTCATAGGTTTGGAATAGTCATATCCTTCCTCATGAAGAACCATAATTTACACTAGCACGTTAAGAGCTCTCAGAAGTGCTTAAGTAAAAAAATCTAAACCCAGCCTTCTCTATACTTTTTTTAAATTATTGAATTCTTTATTAGACTACCTGTTGATAATTTGAAATTAATATTCCAGTGAACATAGTTTGGGAATGCTAGCCTGTTTAATGCTGCAGTCCATTTATTCTGAAATTTCATTCACAGATACTGTCTTTAGGGAATATCTGAACGTTTTATATAATTGGAATTTAGACTTGTATAATCTTAGGTACTTAGTCAAGGCATTCAATAAATATCTATTGAATTGAATACGGAACTCATCATATTCTAATTTATTTCATTTGTTACTTAGCTTCACCATTTTACATCTTCCTATTCAAAGCAAAAATAATTTCATTTTCAATAATTATTTTATGTTATTTTATGGAAATAGATGTATATAGCTTTGATTTTTAAAAATACTTTCTTTACCTGGAAAGCTACGAGTAAATGAATATTGTACTCTTGAAAGAAGCTGACATAGATGGGAAAAGTTTTACTGAATCAAGTAAATTATGTCTTTTAGAAATTACCATTGTTTTAGAAAATCATTTAGTAAAATGTACTTGAAATATTTTCTTCTGCCAAAAAGTATTACAAGTACATTTTAGAAATATGAGAAATAAGGGAAAGTATGAAAGAGTTTCAAAATTGTATCACCCAGAGGTAATCTGTTCACTTTTTGATGTATATGCTTTAACACTTTATTTGTGTGGGCATGTGTGCGTGTGTGTACATACACATATACATGCGTACATATTCATTTAAGCACCATGCTTTGTGCTTAGCACTATTTTAGGGTGATGATATAGCAGTGAACAAAAGAGACAAAAATCCCTGCTATCTTGATGCTTAAATTGGAGGTAGGGGGACAGATGGGTGACAATAGTAATGAAGCCCAGTATATGGTATATCGGAAGATGGTAAGTGCTATGAAAAAATAAGAGGATAAAGGAATATAGGGAAGATTGAGATAAGTACACTTTCAGACTTTTTGCTAAATAGAGATATGCTCAATTGTGTCTTTCTTTAAAAAAATATTTAAACAAATTTAAACAAAATTACTGAACATATAATTTTTAGATGTCTCTTAATAAATAGTTTGCCCATGTCATTAAATATTATTCTGAACTATTTAAAAGCTACTTAAATTCCATTTTATAGACTATGGTTTATTTTCTACATAGCAACCAGGTTGATCTTTTAAAATCCTTCAGACACTATTGCTCTTAGAAAAAGGACAGATTCTTGACATTATATAGATGAATTTGTCATTCCCCTACCTCACTCACCATGCGCCAGCCACAGTGGCTTTCTCTGTTTGATCTCCTTGTTTCAGGCTCCTTGTACATCCAGTAGTCCCCCTTATATGCGCTTTTGCTTTCTATAGTTTCAGTTACCTGAGGTGTAAACCATAGTCCAAAAATATTAAATTGACAATTCCAGAACTAAACAATTTATAAGTTTTGAATTAGTTTTCAGTAGTACCCTAACACTACATCATAATGCCTCCATCATTCCCCTCACTTCATCTCATCATGTAGGTATTTTATCATTTCACAATATCACAAAAAGAAAAAGGGTGATTTCAGTATAATATTTTTAAAAAGAGACCATATTCATATAACTTTTATTATAGTATATTGTTATAATTGTTCTGTTTTATTATTGTTTGTCTCTCTCTTTTTTTTTTTTTTTTTTTTTTTTTTTTTTTTTTTTTTGAGATAGAGTCTTACTCTGTTGCCTTGGGCCAGAGTCCCGTGGTGTCAGCCTAGCTCACAGCAACCTCAAACTCCTGGGCTCAAGCCATCTTCCTCCCTCAGCCTCCTGAGTAGCTGGGACTACAGGCACGTGCCACCGCATCCAGCTAATTTTTTCTATTTTTAGTTGTTTGGCTAATTTCCTTCTATTTATAGTAGAGACAGGATCTCACTCTTGCTCAGGCTGGTCTCAAACTCCTGAGCTCAAGCAGTCCTCCCACCTTGGCCTCCCAAAGTACTAGGATTACAGGCGTGAGCCACCGTGCCCAGCCTGTTGTTCGTCTCTTACTGTGGCTAATTTAGAAATTAAACTTTATCATAGGTATATATGTATAGGAAAAAAACATATATATAGGGTTTGGTAATATCTGCAGTTTCAGGTGTTCACTGAGGTTCTTAGAGCATAACCCCTGAGGATAAGGGGGGCACTGTTTTACTTGGGGAGGAAATAAATATGAATAATAGAAGATAATAGTTATCCCAGTTGTTAAAGAATGAGGTTGTTTTTTACTTATGACTTAGAAGAACTTAACCATATTTGCTCTGTATTATATACATCTCTGGCCCTCAGTACTTACTGTTCTTTATTCAACTTTTAATTATAAAAATTTAACTATAGAAATAATTATAAAATTATAATTTTTGAATTTTAAAAATTTTAATTATAAAATTTTCAAATTTATAGAAAATATACCTTCAACCTAAAATCTATAGTTGTTAATATTTTGCATTTTTTCTAATTCTGTAAATCCTGGGTTTTTGTTTTTTTTTTTGAGACAGTCTCGCTTTGTTGTCAGGCTAGAGTGAGTGCCGTGGCGTCAGCCTAGCTCACAGCTCAACTCAACTCCTGGCTCGACCGATCCTTCTGCTCAGCCTCCGAGTAGCTGGGCTACAGGCATCGCCACCTGGCCCCATGCCCGGCTATATTTTATATATAATATATATATATTATCAGTTGGCCAATTAATTTCTTTCTATTATAGTAAGACGGTCTTGCTCTTGCTCAGGCTGGTTTAACTCCTGACCTTGAAGCAATCCCGCGCCCTCGGCCTCCCAAGAGCTAGGAATACAGGCGTGAGCCACCGCACCCGGCCATCCTGGGTTTTTTAATTGAACCATTTGGAAGGAGGTTGCACACATCATGACCCTTAAATGCCATTATAAAGTGAGAATCATATTCTTGACTGTTAAAGATATGAAGAAGTCATGAATTGTGTGAAATATTTTATATAACGACAAACAACATAAGATTTAAAGCGGTGAGTTTTCACTATGATATTGATAAAAATTTGATTCAGGCCGGGCGCGGTGGGCTCACCTGTAATCCTAGCTCTCTGGGAGGCCGAGGCGGTGGATCCTTTGAGTTCAGGAGTTTCGAAACCCAACCGAGCAAGAGCGAGACCCCGTCTCTACTATAACATAGAAACAAATTATTGGCCAATCTAATATTATATACAAAAAATTAGCCGCATGGTGGCGCATGCCTGTGTCCAGTACTCGGGAGGCTGAGGCAGAAGGATCGCTTGAGCCAGGAGTTTGAGTTGCTGTGCTAGCGGCTGCGCCACGGCACTCGACTCTAGCTGGCAACAAAGCGAGACTCTGTCTCAAAAAAAAAAAAAAAAAAAAAAAATTTGTATTCAATGGTTATGAAAAATGGTATAAACATGAGGGAAATTTTTTCTGCAGAACACTGTTCACGCAGAAGATTGAAATAGTAACTAAGCATATGAAAAACTTCAGCTTCTCTAAAAATGAAAGCTATACATTGGCTACCATGTATTGAGTACTCAGTGTGTTGAGGCATTTTAACCACAATTCCATATGGCAGGTAATACAGTGTGCATTTACCAATAATAAAACTATTACTGAGAAATAGTAAGTAATTTGCCCCAAGTCCCAAAGTCATAGGACTAGTAAACTGTGGAGCCAACATTCAAAATACAGGGCATTCTTGATTACAAACTCCATGTTCTTAACCACCATGCTATAATATATTGCCTATAAAAATCAAAATACCTTGGGGTTCCTGTTTTACACCTGAAAAAAGAACTTTCTTATGGTCCATCTGAAAAAGTAAATAACCATAAGAAATCTTAGGGAAGAATTTGCCTTACTAGATAGAAAGCAAAATGTATGAGGCTACACTGTTTAATATTGGCATAGGAGAGAGTTGAATAGAACAGGAAAAGAAAAAAGCATGGAAATACTCCAGTTGTAAGGGGAATGTATTACATAATATCAGACATTTTTAGTGATTAAGGAGAATAGATGATTTAATGTGTGGCATTAAGACAGGTAGCTCACTATTTGGGGAAAAAAGTTAGATCCTTCTCTTACACAGAAAATAAATTACAGATGTAAAAATAAGTAAATTGTAAAAAGTAGGGTAAAAACCTGACATGGGGTAAATTTTTTTTTCATAAGCTTGAGGTGGGAACATGGGGTAGTATGTGAAGCATTCATTTTCTGACCAATTAATAATCTTAGACATTGGCATATTCTCTTCTCACCTACAACCACCTCCCATTTGGACCAGGAGTCATATAACAGAACTAGTGAAGCGAAATCATCAAATTTTTGAGTGTACGTTCCAAAAGTATCAGCAGAAGTAAGAACAGATTTGCAAGAGAGTCCAAGAGGTACCGTATCTCTCATATGTTTACCTACACACAGAAAGGATAGATTAAGGGTTCTGAGCTGGGAACAAAATGCAAATTATAAATAAAGTGCTTTGAGTTTGGTGTATTTTGTGCTTGGGTGTATGTCAAAGAATCTCTCTCTCAACATTTGAGTCTATCAGAGTAGAAGAGCATATGTAACTGCCTGAAGCTGGGACTCACAAAAGCACTCTCTCTGTCAGTGGGAATTTGGGGCCAGTAGACAGGAGGACAATAAGCTCTACCAAAGTGTAAGAAGATAAAGGTAGCCGCTAAGTCACGCCATTTCCCCCATCCTCCGTGCACATACATACTTAATTTCTGTCAGCTCCCAGAGCCATCCCGAAGGTTTAGAATCAAAGATCAAATTGAGTTATAAAAAAGAAAATGTGTGCTTACACATCCTAGTTCCTATACAATTTATATCTGTTACTAAGCAAGAAAAAAGCATAAAGGAAAAGATCGGTAAATTAGATAGACAAATAGAAGATCTTTCCTATATGGAAAAAATAGTCTTAACAAAATCAGAAGTCAAAAAATTGCAGAAAAATACTTCTAAGATTTATTACATGAGACTGATTTTCTTAATATTAAAAAGGAAATAACCCAGGTATTTAAATATCAGTGAGAAAAGAAAAGTAGCATTTTTTAAAATGAGCAAAGAACAACATTCGAGGGAAGGAAAACTTAACCATCATCTGTAAAGAAATTAACCTAAAATAACAAGGTGGGCAAATATTTTTAAATTGAAAAGGGATTTCGAGAAGTAGTTACTAAAGGGAATGATGCGAATGTATGTTATCGCAACCTTATACATGCCCTTGGAGCGCTTCCTTTTGTAGTTGTTCTACAGAAGCTTTCACAAGTCCACAAAGATACTTGTACATAATACAGAATTGGTTTTTGCAGTATTTGGGAAGGAGAGTAGGCATTTAGGTTGTTTCCAAGGTTTTTTCCTATCAATTTTTGCCTGGTTAAATAAATTATGGTGCATCTACATAGTAGAATACAATGCAGCTGTTGCAAAGAATATAGTAGAAGTATTGGTATGGAAAGATGTCCAGGATATAGCAAGTGAACCAAAGCTAGGAATAAAGTTCTATATTGCATAGTAGAATACCTTATATACATTTATATGTATATCCACATTTATATGACATCCTACTATGCAATATATAGTATATACTACATTATATATAATGTATATACTTCTATATTATGTATAGTAGGCTGCTCCTATATATTTAAATATATATATTTGTATACACATTAAAATATCTGAACATGTCCAGTCTTAATGGGAGCTACCTGTGAGGACTGGAACTTTTCATTTTATACTATTGGAGGAATGTTTTTTACATATGAACTTGTATTTTTATATATATAAAATAGTTTGAATTTAATAAAATGTATGCCAAAATTCAGTGTTGGTAGGGCTGGGTGAGAACAATACTTTGTGGCAACTGGTGGTATCATAAACTGGTGAAAGCTTCATGGGCAGTGACTAAGTTTATTTTGAACACCTGTTACATGCTAGGCATTATGCTATTTTATTTACATTTATCTTATATCTCCAACCAACTCTATAAAGTAGATTCTATTTTTCTCTTACTGGATGAAACAGATTTAGAAGACTGATGTTTCTTGCCAGGAGTCACAAACTGTTCTAGTGTTGCAGTTGAGTTCTAATCCAAACAGCCTAAGTCCAGAGCATTGTGCTTTATGCTCCTATACCTACTCTGCAACTGTTCAAAAAGGGTTCTGGAAATTTGTAAGAAAGGTTATTACTCAAGACAAAAGACAGAGTTTGAATCTGTGTCTGTTTCATGAACTAAAAATGGAGATAATAATCTCTACCCTTCTTTGAAAATATCCTATTATTAATAGTTGGTTTGTATGAAAGTACCTTCTAAATTTACAAAGTACTGTAGGAATAGGAGATTTGAATCAATGAAATGTTTTTTATCCATAGCCTGCTTTCTTTATATGATAAGCTCAAATGTTTTAAACTCTTTTTCTTCGAACCTCATCTGTAAAGTGCAAGTTTTAATAGTTCTAGTCAACTTTTTGGAATCTCTTTGTATAACTCTCAGTTTTGGTGTAGTACCTTTCCTTAATTGAGGAAATATTCAGTGTTTCTAACAAAATGTTCTCATTTCTACTTAAAATGTTTTTATTAGCTGGGTGTGGTGGGTCATGCCTATATTCTAGCTGCTTGGGAGGCTGAGACAAGAGGATCACTGGAGCCCAGGAGTTGGATTCTGCAGTGAGCTATGAATCACACCACTCTAGCCTGGGTGCCAGATCAAGACTCTGTCTCTTATAAAAAAATATTTTTATCACCAATTATTACTAATAGCATGCTTTCAAGACCTACTAAAATCCTACTATTAAAAAAAAAAAGAGCAAAACCCTCTTTGTAAGGCCTACGTTCTGTTCGCTACTTTTTAATACATAAACTTATCTATTTTTCCTTTTTCTTAGGAACATCATCTTCAGCGGGCTATTTCAGCACAGCAGGTGTATGGCGAGAAGAGGGATAATATGGTTATACCAGTCCCAGAGGCAGAAAGTAATATTGCTTACTATGAGTCTATATATCCTGGGGAATTTAAGATGCCAAAGCAGCTCATTCACATCCAGCGTAAGTATTAGTAATTATTCTTTTAATAATTGTGTTTTCTATATTTATCCTCATATGTAACTTGACAGATTTTTATCTGTTCAAGAACATTTTCTTTATAGACCAGCATCAGCTTGAGAGTTACTTAGAGCCCATCTTCAACTTTTAAAATTGTGTTTGAACACCTAAACTGACAAAAAAGATAGCATTTATCTTTCTAGATTTTTAGTTCCATCCCAATATGGAATCTTATGCTGCTTTAAACAAGTAGGATGAATAATATATTTCAGATATAGAAGTAGTTTTCTTCCTGCTCAGAATTAGTAATATTAATAGTTTTCAAGAACTTCTTGATAAAAGTGAGGGATCAGCAAACTTTTTCTGTAAAGGGTCAGATCGGAAATACTGTGAGCTTTGCAGGTCATTCATTCTCTGCCACAACTAGTCAGTTCTGCTGTTGTGGTACAAAAGCAGCTATGGAGAATACAAAACGAATGTAACTATGTTCCAGTAAAACTATTGATGAAAACAGATAGCAGAGCAGAATTGGACCATGAGCCATCTATGTTTCTACTAGTAAAGTGATGGTAATTTTTAAAATTTAGTGTTCTAATTGGGAACTTATTTCACTTAATAATGATGTAAGGATAGAAATGACCCTTTGTTAGCTTTTACATTTGGTGATGAGCAGCTGAAAGCCTGTGCCCAATCTCCAAGTAGTTGGCAATTTAGAAACAAATAGCTAGGCTGGGGCAGTGGCTCACGCCTGTAATCCTAGCACTCTAGGAGGCTGAGGCAGGTAGATAGTTTGAGCTCAGGAGTTCAAGACCAGCCTGAGGAAGAGCGAGACCACGTCTGTACTACAAATAGAAAAAATTAGTTGGGCATGATGGTGCATGCCTATAGTCCCAGCTACTTGAGAGGCTGAGGCAGAGGGATCACTTGAGCTCAGGAGTTTGAGGCTGCTGTGAGCTATGATCTTGCCACTGAACTCCAGCCTGAGTGACAGAGCAAGACCTGTCTTGTAGGAAAAAAAATCATTTTACATTTACATTTTACTGATAACCAATGGTCAGAAGAGTCAAAAGGTATTATATTAAAAAAGGATTTGACTCTGGTGATATTGTAATCAAATAATAGTAATAAAATGGCAGGCGAATTGTAGATTATTTGGGAGGAAAATTTTTTAATCAGTACAAATCTTAGGTATCTTATCTTTGGAAAGATGTATACTTTGGAATAGTAGTAAAGACAGTGCAGCTAAAGATCTCTTGCACAATTCCTCCAGCCTCATCCAATGTTAACCTCATGCCCAACGATAGTACAATATTTGTACATGCACATGTGTTTGTGCTTCTGTGCAGTTTTATCACATGGTAGCCTTACATAACCACCACCACAATCAAGATATTCAATTGTGTCATCACTAGAAGACTCCCTCTAGTTAGTTTTATAGCCATACTTATCCCCTCCCTGTCATCCCCTGGCTATCGCTAATCTGTTCTTCATCTGTATAATTATGTTAGTTCACAAATGTTAGGGAATCAGGCAGTATATATCCTTTAAAGGTTGGCTTTTTTTCACTCAATGTCCTTGAGGTTCATCCAGTTCTATATATCAATAGTTCATTCCTCCTTATTTCTGATCAGTATTCCATGATTTGTATATACGAGTTTTTTATCCATTCACCCATTGAAGGACATTTGAGTAGTTTCTAGGTTTTGATTATTACAAATAGAACTGCTATGAACATTCGTGTACAAGTTTTTGTTTGAACATAAGTTTTTATTTCTCTGGGATAAATACGAGTGTAGTTGGTGGATCATCCATTTTTAGTTTGGACAGGAACTGCTACACTATTTATTTCTCTAAGTAGATGCACCATTTTACATTATCACCATCTATGTATATGGGATCCAGTTTCTCCATATCTTCTCCAGCATTTGAGGTTATCACTATTTTTCATTTTAGCCATTCTAATAGGTATGTAGTTATACCTCATTGTAGTTTTAATTTACGTTTTTCGTAAGTGACTAATACGAAACATCTTTTCATATGTTCATTTGCCATCATATATCCTTTTTGGTGAAATGATCCTGTGTGTATTTTGCCCATTTTCTAATGGATTATTTTAATGTTGAGATTTGAGAGTTTTTAAAAATATACTCTGTATATCACATTTTCTTAATTCGCTTGTGAATTGATGGGCACTTAGGCTGATTTCACATCTTTGTAGTTGTGAATTGTGCTGCAATAAACATTCAAGTGCAGATGTCTCTTTGATAAAATGACTTCTTTTCCTTTGGGTAGATACCCAAAGTGGTTGGTGCTGGTTTCTTTGAGGAATCTCCATACTGTTTTCCATAGAGATTGTACTAATTTGCAATCCTACCAACAGTATATAAGCATCCATACCAGCATCCATTAGATGCCAGCATTTATTGTTTTTTTACTTTTTAACAATGGCCATTCTGACAGGGGTATGGTAATATTTCATTGTGATTTTAATTTACATTTCTGGGTGATTAGTGATGTTGAGTATTTCTGCATATGTTTGTTGGCCATTTGTTTATCTTCTTTTGAAAAATTTCTGTCCGTGTCTTTTGCCCACTTTTTAATGGGATTGCTTTTTTCTTGCTGATTTGTTTGAGTTCTTTGTGGATTTTGGATATTAGCCCTTTATGGGATGTATAGTTTGCAAATATTTTCTCCCATTCTGTAGGTTGTCTGCTCTGTTGATTATATCCTTTGCTGTGCAGAAGCCTTTTAATTTAATTAAATCCCATTTATTTGTTTTTGTTGTTGCTGTATTTGCCTTTAGAGTCTTAATCATAAATTCTTTGCCTAGGCTAATGTCTAGGAGGGTTTTCCCTACATTTTCTTCTGGAATTTTTATGGTTTCATGCCTTACACTTAAGTCTTTTATCTATCTTGTTAATGTTTGTATATGGCAAACATTAACATTGTAGGGGTCCTTTTTCATTCTTCATGTGCCATGGAGTACTACTCACCCGTAAAAAGGAATGAAATATGTCTTCTGCAGCAACTTGGATGAAACTAGAGACCATTATCCTAAGTGAAGTATCTCAGGAATGGAAAAACAAACACCACATGTGCTCTCTATTAATTGAGAGCTAATCCATGGGCACACACAAGCACAGAGCGGTTTAAAGGTCACTGGAAGTCAAGAAAGGGGTAAAAAACTACCTGTTGGGCACAGTGAACAACACTATTCAGGTGATGGACACACTAAAAGCCCCAGCTTAAGCATTATAAAACGTGTCTATGTAACAAAAACATTTGTACCTCCTTAATATTTTGAAATAAAAATATTCTAACACAAAGTCTTTTGTCAGATATGTGATTAGAAACATTTTTCCTGTTTTCCTGTTTTGTAATTTTTAAAAAATCTTTTTAATAGTCTTTCAGAGCAAAAGTTTTTAATTTGGATAACATCCAATTTATCAGTTTTCCTCTTACAGATCAAGTCTCAGAACTCTTTGCCTGATTATAAGCTTCAAAGATTTTTTCTTTGTTCCATTCTAAAAGTTTTACTGTTTTACATTTAAGTCTATGATCTATTTTGAATTAATTTCTATAGAAAGTGTGAGGTTTGAGTCAAGGTGCTCATTTTTTTGCCTCTAGATGTCCAGTTGCTTCTGTGCCCTTTATTGAAAAAGCTTTTTCTCCTCCATTGAATTGCTTTTGCTTCTTGGTCAAAAATTAATTGGGCATATTGGTGTGGATCTGTTTCTGGATTCTCCATTCTATTCCACTGATTTCTGTGTTTATCCCAAGATGGTACCACTGTCTTGAGTATTGCAGCAATATAGTAATTTTTAACATCAGGGAGAATGATTCCACCTACTTTCTTTTTCAAAATTGTTTTGGATATTTTAGGGCCTTTCTGTTTCAATATAAATTTTAGAATAAGCTTGTCTGTGTCTACAAAGAAACGTGCTGATTTTTTGATAGTAATGGCCTTAAACCTACAGATCAGTTTAGGGAGAATTGACACTTTACAACCGTGTTTCCCCGAAAATAAGACAGGGTCTTCTATTTCTTTTTCCTCAAGAAGACACCCTAGGGCTTATTTTCAGGGGTTGTGGTTTTTTTTTGTTGTTTTTTGTTTTTTGTTTTTTGTTTTTTTTTTAAGTACAGTACAACAATCTACATTTATTCAAATATAGTTAAGTCATCTTCTTCTGGAACACCATCATAACTCTCCAAACCCCAGATTCCATCCTGAATTTCTTGCGACTCTATTTCCTATAGAACCATTGGCCCCAATCTCTCATGTCGAGCAATAAAGCTCCCATGGGGCAGATGAGGAGGGCTGCTCGTCTTCTTTACCACTCAGTGACGAAATGCATGGGTTGTGCAGATACGCTTTCATAGCCACGCCCATCACTAGGTCTTATTTTCGGGGTAGGGCTTCTATTGCGCTAATGCTTAGAAATCCTGCTAGGGCTTATTTTATAGGTAGGTCTGATTTTCGGGGAAACACGGTATATGTGAGTCTTCTAGGCCATGAACATGATTTGACACTCCAAGTGTTTAAGTTGTCTTTGATTTCTTTCATTGACACTTTATAATTTTCATCATACAGATCCTGTACATGTTTTGTTAAATTTATAACTGAATGTTTTATTTTCTTTGAAACAGTTGGAAATGGTATTGCATTTTTTATTTTGCTTTCCACTTGTTCATTGTCCTTGTATAGAAATGCAGTTGGATCTTATATCCTGTGGCCTTACTGAAGTTACTTGTTAGTTCTAGGAAGTAATTGTTTGGTTTGTTTCTGAGACAGGGTCTCACTCTGTTATCCAGGCTACAGTGCAGTGGCATCATGATAGCTCACTGCAACATCAAACTCCAGGGCTCAAGGGATCCTTCTTGCCTCAGCCTCCTGAGTAACTAGGACTATAGGTGCACACCATTGCACCTGGCTAATTTTCCTATTTTTTTTGTAGAGACAGGATTTGCCTGTATTTCTCAGCCTGATCTTGAACTCCTGGCCT